CACTCCCATCCACCCCCACCCCCATCCCCACTTCCGCAGTCGCCCATCAGTTAACTTCAAGAGTCCATTATATGACCTTACTCTGGGGGCGCTCGACTGGTATAGGCAAAATTAGTTAACTGAGCATGCGCCTACCTTCTAAATTCTCACGGCGCAGGCTTATGACTTTCCGGCCATGGGCACATGCTGCGCATGCCCAGGCCAAGAGTGGGTGGATCTGAGGGAGGAGCTAGGAGTTCACCCGTTGCGATACGAGAGAAAGGAGAGCAAGGAAACCGTATGGCCCGTGTAAACCCCGGCCTTCAACTTCTCAGTGCCTGCTTGTACTTCTCTCAAGTGTACTTTGCTTAATAAATCACTTCTACTTGCTACTCTTTGTCTGCTGTTTTTCTTCTCTGAGTGACGGACCTCCACTTGTTTGGGGGATCCGAGGACCGAGCCCCGACTCTCACACAATGGAGACACCTGATGGCTGGCAACACATTGTCCAACGAAGGAAACATTTTTTGCTGTGTGGAATTTTTTTTTAAGCCACTGAGCCAAATACAGAATGTGTATGTTTATGGATTTGAACCAAATCTTTTGAGATCCCAATTACCCTGAAGAACATTGAAGACATTTATAGGACATATTAAATACTAGTTACATACCTCATAATGTCTAAGGCAGCTACTATCGTTCTACAGAAAATAGCATTTCATTTAGAGGCTGCCCAGAATTTGAACTACATTATAGTTTCCATGTCCTTTCTGATTTGGAGTAGTTTCCCCAAATAGGGCCATAGAATTGAAACAAAAGTTTTGTGCTCATGCCAAACAGTCTCTGGTATTTTATAGACACATTTATAGATACATTAAGACTTTACTCTGGACCCCGGTGACGACTAAGAAATTGAGAGGTCATGATTATTGGATGCTGAGAGAAAGCATACTTAAACTCACATGATCAGGAGGCAAGCAGAAACAAAGCTGGAACTTGGTGTTCACCCACCACTTGCTCTAAAAACAAATTTTGCTTAAGTAAGGGAAGTATGGTCCAGTTTTGCAATGTTAATAGCTGCCAGTCTCACAAACATATTTTTAATAAAGACCATGTCTTGGCTAGCAATGAGTTAAGAAACTGGCATCAAATTTAGATCAAATTTCTCACCATTAGGCAAAAACAAAACCAACCTCCAAAAAACAGAAAAACAAATACCAGCTATTAGGGGTTAAAAATTTGCACAATTAAACTTGGATGTAAATCATACTATATACAGACTGATATACGCATCATTGAAATAGTTTTGAGGGCATGAAACACTTCTGTTGAAACATTCTCTCTATATTATCCCAGTTTTCTTTTTCTTTTTTTTTCTTTTTTTTTTTCTTTTTAGGCGAGGCAACCCTTGGTTGACCTCACTGATTGCAAGGATCTTGTCTGGTTACAATCCCTGATTTTTTTTATTTTTTATTTTTTCTTCCTAGCTGGTCTCCCATCCAAGTACTAACCAGTTAGCTGGTCTCCCCTCCAAGTACTAACCAGGCCCGACCCTGCTTAGCTTCTGAGATCAGATAGGATTGGGCTTGTTCAGGGTGGCATGGCCATAGACCCAATTTTCATTAAAGGAAAGCTGATAGGTAATTTTCTTCTTTATGAATATGAAAGAGGAAGCAAGAAGGCAAAACTGAGAGAAATAGATACTACCCAAAGGGCAGCGGTGGCATTTGGTCTTTGTACCGGCAACTCCTACACACCCCCAGTAGATACCCAGTTCCTGCTGGACTACACAGTTCCTTGGCCATCAGCACTCCAACAATGGACCCTGATGCTCCAGTCGTGAGTGCCTTTGCCAGCCACTGCAATAAGAGCTCAGCTATTGTCAGATGAGCTCTCAAAGCCTATAAAAAACACACATTGTTAGGAGATCCACACCATTCTCTTCCAGGGATTGAACTGCCTTTTCAATGTCATTAGCTTTAAATGAGATGAGCACCTTCAAGACAATGCTGCCTGCCGGATCCTTCATCGCTTGACTTTTGGTGTGGATGCAGGGTTTTCCGGAGCTGACAGGAGGGCAGCTGTCTGGTTTCCTTGTGCAGGCAGTCCACTTCACCCTAGACAGCTGGCCTGTCTGTGGCTCAGTCTCCCTCATCCACAAACTTGTTCTCAGCACACTTGTCTACTTCCACCATTCGGAATAGGGCTTGATGACGTGTCCTTCAGCATCCTCCCTCCTGAGCGTGGACTTCAGCAAGCCCAGTCTGACAGAAACTGGCAATCTCCAGCCTTCGCTTCCAAGCGTTTCTTAATAAGCACAATCCCAAAGGTGAAGACTGAGAAATTCAAGTACTTTAAAAATAAGCTACTAAAATAAGTGACTTAGGAATGAAAATTCATAGTCGCTCTTTCAATAAAACAAGAAGAAAAAAGGACAAATAAACTTCCAATGAAATATTTCCAAATGTGGCCTTGTCCACACCATAAATATCAATGTGAATTTATTATTCAGTACAGGCATAAAAACTGTTAATATATTCCAGCATATTTAAAAATTAATCCTAGATGTCAGAAACATGGCAGAGTGAGAGATGTTCCCAGATTTCTCCCATTGAAATAACAATAAGCTGAACATTTAAAACTCAACAAAAAACACTCAACCTCTACACTAGCAAATCTGAGCATGAGATCTGCAAATAAGAGCTACCACAGGTCAGAACCCAGAGAGTCCAGCAAGAGACTGGGAGAAATAAAAAGCTTCCTCTGGCCGCCGGAGCTCCCTGCAGGAGGAGAGGGAGAAAAGAAGATGTGATAGGTTCCCTGAACACCCCCGCCTGAGAGAGCTGTGAGTTCCATACAGCAGCAGTGCCCAGGATCAGATCAGAAAGCAGAGAAGTGGGGATGGCAGAGAAGCCACGGTTTATTATTAAAAGCCGCAGTTGCAAAACTCGAGGCTGAGCCACAGCCCTCATCCCAGAGGGCACCTCCTCCCATATCCTCCAAGACCAAACATCGCTGAGCCCCAGGGGAATATCAGCAAATGCTACCAAAACTGTAGCTAACACTGACACGGACTGATACTGAGGGTAGCTAGCTTAATTGAATCTATCTATCTATCTATCTATCTATCTATCTATCTATCTATCTATAGATATACACTAATTTAATTGAATATATATATATATAAAAGGCATTATTAAGATTTTGTAGAGGATAGTTAGGAAACATGACA